TATCAATGGTGTTGATATTAAGCAAAAATAGGTAGTATAAGCGAACAGTCGCTTTCTCAAATAATAACGAAGAGCAGTGTTAGCCAAATTATTTGTGCAGCATGTATCTGGTAACTAGTCACAGTGTAAATAGGAGACACTTTTATGTGGATGAGTGTCTCCTATGTGAACATAAGGTAGAACACTGCGAGGCTTAACCTTAGCCGAGACTCAGAAAATGCAGATGTGCCACATTCGGTCCAACTATTCCTTTCTCTTTGAGAGCTTTCTGTAATCTGTTGTGATACCCTTTCAGGTCTGTTTGGCCCTTTTCCATCCCCATGTAGCCCTCCCCTCAATAATATTTCCCAGCATTGCAAGTTAGATCTGTTATAAAACCTTTACCTGTGAAATTTGACCCTGTAAATATTATCAGTGCTTTATTTAATTTTGCTATGAGCAATGCTGCCACATGTTTTAAACATTTAATCAGTATTGCAAGTTAAAAAAAGCAACCCTTCTGCATAGCATTATAATAATTAGCTTTTAATTTGTCCTACTTGCCTCTAATCCCAGCTGTACGGACAGAGTGGTGTTAATCTAGAAAAAGTGAAGATGGAAATGATTAATTAGCTCAGCCGTGATTCAGACTGAATATTCATCAGGATCACTGGTCCTGCCTGTTATGTGCTTCGAGTTATGTGTTTTCTAAATGCATTGTATATTTGAAAGCACATCATACCTCCTGTAGAGTTGGCTCTCTCTGACTAAACGTAGCGAAGTTCAGTTATTAAAACCAGCGAGTCACATGACAAGTGTTTGTTTTTGTTTTTTACAAAAGTGTCTCGATGGACTTTAAACACTTAAAGTACAAACAGCTTGCAGTGTCGTGTGGTCACAGAGTAACATCTTGTTCACACTCCACTGATGCGTCTGCTCACGCTAACCACTACTTTATGAGCTGCTAAGTTTACCACATATAACATCTGGTTTGAGGGCTTCCTGTGCATTTCCAAGGACTTGAGAAGCGCTACCTTTGGGCTTCTAAGAATCATGTGGTTGGTGTACTGTTCGGGGGAGCGCTGACAGCTGTATGCACTCTGAGCTGAAGCTGGTGATCGGGTGTGATCAATGGGTGGTAACCCCATCCATTGAACTGTGGGTTTTGAGATTGTCCCTTTCTATGGTGACCTTACCACACTGATTGTGTTTGTGCTGGATTTGATTTGTATTAAGATGATGAAGGATGAATGCTGCTCATAAAAGTTATCTTAATACATAACTGAGAACTTTCCAGCACTTTCCAGGTCTGTAGAAAGACAAAACCTCTGTGGACTTAGCAGTACAGTAAAGGAAATATGACATGTGTGTGAACACATTAAGTTTCACCCCTGTTTTAATACCATTAGATGGGCAATGAAGTTGTTGTTTCTGTCAGCCTTCAATTCCACCTGCATCAACCCAAACCTAACCACATTGTTTATTTGGCCTGTAATCAATTTGATTTATGTAGCGCCAAAGCAAAAACAACAGTCACCTCAAGGCGCTTAATATTGTAAAGACCTTACAAGACCTTAAATAGGGAAACCCCCAAAATAGACAACTCCCTGTGAGTAAGGATTTTGGTGACAGTGGGAAGGAAAATCTTCCTTTTAACAGGAAGAAACCTGCAGCAGAACCAGTTTCAGGGAGGGGCGGGGCGGGGTGGGGCCGGGCTGGGCCATCTGCCACGACCAGTTGTGTATTGAGGGGAGGGACAAAAAGACATGCTGCAGAGGACAACCAGGGATTAATAATAATTCTTAATGAATTACAGAGTGGTGTAGAAACACATGGTCAGTGAAAAAGGAAGGCTCAGTGCATCATGGGAATCCCCTAGCAGCCTGGGCCTATTGTACCATAATTAAGGGAGGATTCAGGGTCACCTGATCTATAAGCTGAACGATATGCTTTACCAAAAAGGAAAGTCTTTATCCAAACTGGAAGCTGGTTCCACAGAAGAGGGGCCTGAAAACTGAAGGCTCTGCCTCCCATTCTACTTTTAAATACTCTAGGAACAACAAGTAAGCCTGCAGTAAGAGGGCGAAGTGCTCTAATAGGGTGATATGGTACTACAAGGTCATTAAGATAAGATGGGGCCTGATTATTTAAGACCTTGTATGTGAGGAGCAGGATTTTGAATTCTGGATTTAACAGGAAGGCAGTGTGGGAGAAATGTGCTCTCTCTTTCTAGTCCCTCTCAGTAATCGCTGCCAGGCTAAAGGTCTGTGGTGCGTAGTCGACTCATAAAGATTGAAGCAATAATTAATGGTAGGACTTCATTAAAGTAAAAATGGTTTTAAAAAATAACCACTGTAACATTCTTTCTGTGCTGCTTTCTGTTTTATATTGCTTAAATTGAAAAACCTGCATATACATGCTGGGTTTACAAAGGATATAAATCTCATTTATCAATGAATACACACTCGTGCAGATTATAAAATCATTTTAAATACATTTAAACTCTTCTACTAACAAATTAAAATGTGTCATTTGCATTTTAAATATTTGCATGGAGTCTTTGTTTTGTTTTGTTTTTCTGTGGAAATGACCAAACTGTCCAAACCCCACTTGTCCTCTGAGTGGCTTCTGCTTAGGAGGGTTGTTGGAGATTTTCCTAATCTGAGTCCCGCTGTGGTCGACTGGGTTCAGCAGCGATCGTGCAGCCCTTCATTCACTGGGTCAGGTGGCCAGTCATTCTGTAAGGGAGGGGCGAGAGACTGCAGCGCCATACAGGTGTAAAGGGAGGGAGCAGAGTGAAGTCACGCCATACAAGCTGGGTGTCGTGTGTGCGCGTGTGTCACTGGAAGGAACTAACAAATATGCAACAGCTTTATTGATGTTGTTTTATGGTCATTTTTGTGTTTGTTTCTTTGTACTGAACTGACTATTATGGGGTTGTTCAAGCAAAACAAGACGTTTGAAGAGGTCGCCTCAGTAAATATGCAAAACTGTACATATCAATTAAGAATTCATGTTTTTTTTAATTGATTGAAATATAATAAAAATAATGTTTCTTGCACTCCTAGTTTCATTCACCTAGTGAGGCATTCTTTATGCCTTTTATTAATTTTGGGGTTTATGATAAGTAAATAAATCTGTCTTTTTTATTATTTCAAATAAATTCAGGGTGAAGAAGAAGCTGATCAAAATACTTAAACCAAACCTGATGGTTTCCATCTTCTATAATTGTAGTCTAATAATTGTACAAAGGCGGTTCTTCTCTGCGTCTTGTTTGTTGTGTCTCTACGTGAAGAAAGCTTGTGATTGTGTGTGTGTGTGTGTGTGTGTATGTGTGTGTGTGTGTGTGTGTGTGTGTGTGTGTGTATGTGTGTGCTAATGTGACTGCTCACTTACATAACTTTGCTCTGCTAAAAATAGCATCTCAGAGCTGAGCTGTCACTCTGTTCCAAAGTGCTGGGAGTATAAATACATGCAGTGAGTGAGTTTTCAGCTGTGCTGCTGTCTGAAAGATGAGCTCCTACAGTTTAATCAGTGCTGCATGTACCTGCTCTCTACAGTAACCTGTAAAATGCTTAAGAACTCCTCACCTAATATTAGGGGCTAATTTTGGCAGGAGCCTGAGTGATATTAGACAACATTTGCCAATATTTTTGTATTGGTAAATTGCCAGTAAGTGAAAGAAGTAAAGAACAGACAAGAGAAACACCCTTCAACCCTTCAAAGCTCCTCCAGAGGGCGCTCTGTAACTAACTCTGTAACTTCCTTGTTAGCAGCTGGTGTTTGGCACAAATACATCCAGCCGAGCCCAGCAGAGTGAGACGAAATGTTTAAACTACATTATCATAGTTCGGACTACACATTACAAATGTTCAGAAAATCTGTTTGTTTGATTTGTCCCAGAGGATATTGAGTTAATATAAAAATATCGCAGAGTTACATCCATCAAACACAGATTATTCAGCACAGTGATTACCAAGCATATGGGCTCAAAATGTGGTCATAAATATTTTGTACTTGAAAATCGGTTTTGTACTTGTAAAAAAGATTTGTATGTGTAAAAAAAATTTGTGCGTGCGTAAAAAAGATTTGTGTGTGTGTAAAAAGCGCCCCTCCGAGAGCCAAACCCATCTGTTCTCTGATTGGATTGTTACATTTGTGATTGACATGACATTCACCAATCAGATGAAAGGAAGAAAAATAGGGTCAAAATTCGTAGTTGTAACTTGCAGGGTTTTTTTTGGCGAAGTCCACACACAAATCTTTTTTACACATACAAATCTTTTTTTACACATACAAATCTTTTTTACACACACACAAATCTTTTTTACACACACACAAATCTTTTTTACGCACGCACAAAATTTTTTTACGCACGCAGAAATCTTTTTTACACATACAAATCTTTTTTACGCACGCAAATTTTTTTTACACATACAAATCTTTTTTTACAAGTACAAACATTTTGAGCCCATACAAGCACACTGTCCTGATAACTGCAGAGAGCGCGCACTGTTCTACACCCGGATGGACAGATGAGTCGACTCCAGCATTTTACATGGAGATTTTCAAAGTCTCCTTTAGCTTTTGTAAATGGTGGCACCTCTTTCTTTTTTCCAGCTGTGACCACAGAAGCTTAAGGCTTGTGTTTGCTAAGGTCTTACAATCTTTCATATGAAGCTAATTGGGACTATTTTTTTTGTCCTGAATTTCTTCCAGTAATGCGGTTCTGCACTAGATCTGATTCCCAGGGGTTGCATGATGTTGCTGTGGCAGTAAATCACACTGGTACATTTTGTTGTTATTGTGTCTGGTTTCGACATTGTAACAGCTGGACAACTTTGAAATTAAACATTTCATATACCGCATGTAACAAGGTGTAGTGACAGTTGGACGGTTAAGTGGGGACCAGTGGAAAACGCCTTTATTTGCACATAGATGAAACCTACATGACAAACTGTGATATATCAGCTGTTCTGATGTTCTGTGTGTGACCTACTGTCTTTATTTTCCCACTGCAGCTCAGATTGAAATAATCCCCTGTAAGATTTGTGGAGATAAATCATCAGGGATCCACTACGGGGTCATCACCTGTGAAGGCTGTAAGGTAAGCTCCTCCTCCCTCCCGTTGTCTGCTAAAGTCAATTTGAGCGTGTTATAACCTCAGTTAAACCCAACTCTAAAATACAGTAAAGGGTCCAAAATGTACGGCCTCCTTCACATCGTCCAAAGTTATCCAATGAGTCAGTTTGGATTCTGGCCCCCGGTGCTCATGTTTGATGTCCCTGCTTTAAATGATAAGCCTTTCCAAGTCGTTCAATCACAGACAGATCTTTGTTACATCTGTGCAACAATTAATGTTTGAGAATAGTTTGCACTTTGAACCCTCCGTATTTTGTCTTTTTTTCTTTAACCAGGAAAAGGCCTCTGCAATCATCCATCGCTGGCGTTTTTATGTGGCACAGCTCACCAGTGCATTTATTGTGGTGTTAAACCAGTTTTCATTTGAGTTTAAAGTAGTTACATGTATTGCAATATGATTTTATACCCATACCTGACCAGGCACGTTTGTATGTTTCGTACAGAATTTGGTCTGAAACATCAGTCACGAGCATCGGGCTCTAAACCATATTCTACCTGGTGAGAGCGGTTCTGTGAACAGGCAGGTGTGTTCAGCCACAGCAGCTGCTGATGTGACAGCTGGAGGCTTATTTCACAGCCAGTATGCAGCTGAAGCAGCCTCCAAACAAACCACAACATCTGCACTAAGTCGCACGTTAGATGTAAATGATCTGCTGCTAATATGACATAATGATATTACATAATGTCATCTGAGAGAAATCAGTGTTTTCCCTTTAAAGTTACTACTGTTCCCTTGAGCTTGACACAGAGTGGCATCATTTGTTAATTTAACTATAATTTGAATTACAGACATTTTTATATTTTATAATTTTGATGCATTTCCATTCAGATCTATACAGGCTATATTGGCTCTATGAGAAGAAGGGTTATAGGCCATCTGTGATGCATCTATAAACTAGTGTGATCAGGAAACGTGAACAGGTACTATAAACGTACCGGGGATATGGTGATCGTGGGCTGAACCCCAGTTTGCTTCATGTATTTCTTCACACTTTCAAAGTGCTGTGAATGTTTCCTTTTCACTACATGGTGCTGAAGGTAATGTTGACTTTTATTCTATAACTATGATGCTGACATCTCTAAAGCATTCTCACACATGTTTTATGTGGTTCCCACATTTCTTGAGGTAAAATGCAATAAAATAGAAAAGAATAGAACAGAATAGGACTTTATTGTCATCGTGCATATACAATGAAATTCTGCTTTTTTTCCCCCATCAGGTTGATAAACAGTTAACAGCTTCTTTGTGCTCTACATGGCACATGGTCTCCAGTCTTTGCCTTGTGATTACATTCACATTTCTGCATTGCCTGTTATATATTCACTGACTGCTTGTGAGAGTGAGCTGCTGACAAGCAGACTGAAGCTAGCAGAAATAACTTTCATGTGTTTGTCATCTGATAGCCTTTGCGCTCCTTGGTTTACCAATTTCTCTGTATATGCTAATAGGCCAGTCTGCCATTACTCTGTAAAATGGCTCATACAGAGGTACACGGGTGGATACGGTTTGTTTGTTGTTGTTACTGTTGTTGGACATCCAATGAACACTATATTGTGAAGCATTTGCTCATCTGCCTTCACACAGTGACATTCATTTCTTAACCCAAAGAGTTTGACGGGATGTGCCTCATCCTTTGCAGCTGTAACAGCTTCAACTCTTCTGGAAAGGCTTTCCACCATGTTTATGGGAATTTTTGAACATTCTTCTGGAATCGAAAGGAGGAATGCTACATCAGGTTAGACACTGATGTAGCATGACAAGGCCTGGCCCTGGCTCACAGTCTGCGCTCATCCCAAAAGTTGAGGTCAGGACTCTGTGCAGGCCAGTCAAGTTCTTCTTTGTTTATGTCTTCATGGACCTTGCTTTGTGTACTTGTACACAGTCATGTTGGAACAGGAAGGGGCCGTCCCCACACTTCTCTAACAATTGTCTAACTTGGATGTCTTGGCCAAGATATCGTCATCATCAGTGATGATGTCAACCCCAGCCTCAGCTCCAGTTCCAGCTCCAAAGCCTAATCCTTTGCTTTAAAAAAAAAAAAGCATAGGGTTGAAAAAACAACAAATTAATATTAAAGATGAATTTAAAAAATAGGGTTAGGATTAGGATGACTCTAAATCAACCAGTGGCCATTAGTTGGAGCCTGGAAGCGGCAACTTTAAGCTGAGTTTTGACAAGATAACTGGCTTTGATGAAGAGGAGCCGTGGCTCTTAATATGATTGGAGACTGATGAGACCGCCTTGGCTTCACATACTTCCATATTTCAACCAGACCGTGCTCTGTGTATGTTTCAGAGAGTGAAATGTAGTGTTGTGTGAACAAGTGTTTTAAGTCTAGGAATGTTAGATTAGTAACTTTGTACATATTACAAATATTCTAACTATATTGTAAATACTAAAAAGCAGTCCTAGGGAGGCAGTTTAGAGGCCTGTAATTTAGTTCAGTTTTTATGCTGGTAGGTTAGTTAGTTTTGTTCTATTTTATATTTCTACAAAATCTCACAGTAGCTCCAGTCCTTGTGTGGAAGTCACATTTGCGTTGTGCTCTGGACTCCAGAGTGCAACACAAGACAACCCCCTGTACCCTAGACAGTCCCCCAGACACTGATGATAGTCTAAAGCATTTGTCTCTTTGGTCATTGCAGTCTGGATTAGTTTATCATTGCAGAAAAATGTAAAAAAAAAACGTTTCTTTTTCTCAAATTGAATTTTTTCTTATTACTTTTTGTTATGAAGAATATTTTCGTCATTCATTACACGTGTTTGTGAAAGACTTGATTTTATCTATGTTTTTCAGTATGTTTGTTAAAAGATAACAATGTTAGCCTTTTCTGCAGCTATAGGGGATTTATTGCATCACTCTTGGCTGGAAGCAGTGCTTAATCAATGGGGGGGGGGGGGGGGAAAACACCAACTTTGTCCAAAAACCTCTCATGTTTAGCTGTTTCCCACTTTTTCTTTGGTCATTTTAGCCTTTTTGGCCAGGGTGAAGGGAGCATCTGCCATCAAACAAGAAGACAGCCGCATGTAACTACAGTATGACGGTATTTGCTAGTTCACCTTAAGTGCATTAATTTAATAACTTGGTTAGCCTACTCAACGTAAATTACACACGAACAACATTAAGCTACTGACCCAGAGAAGAACGGCTGCTGCTGCCATTATCATCCGTCATCATTTCTGCTACACTGGCAGAGCTAGGGGTCAGGACTCTACTCTTCGGGTTCTTGGGGGATGTTGCTAACTCCGGGACCGATAACAGGCACCACACCGGCAGTAGATGTGCACGGTGTGAGGTCTATCAAATATGGCGCATTTCTCAGCTTTTAAAAAAAACGCTATGCATCGCCAGGTGTTTCATCAGATTCGAGGAGTTACCTCCTTTGCACAGTATCACCTTAAAGCATTTGTTGCAGGCTGCTGAGTTTGCATCTTTTGCTGTTAAGTACAGCCAGACTTTTGACTGCTTCGCCTTGGGCATTTTTAATCTGTAGCTCTGCATAAAAGAACGTACGTACCTGGGCCCGCCTACTATCCTTGGAAAGGTAAAATGATTGGCTAGAATCCAAAGTGTATGACACCTCAGGAAAAAAAAAGCACCAAAATAAAGCACCGAAATGTGCGCTGCTTTTCGGTCTGGTTACTACCGTTGATGTCAGAACCGGTGCCATCATGGCACCGGATACCGGTGCCCATCCCTAATGGTAAGTGATAGTGGGGCTGTGCATCCTTCAGGAAATCCATTTTGAATTGTAGCTCCATGAGTGCACTGAAGATGCCAAAAGATTGTAAAGCAAAGAGTAACCAGATTTGATGTTTTTATACTGGGGGAAGGTCTCACAGTGACGCACATTTCATCCTTTGCCTCTATGATCTCCAACATGAGCACAAACATGAAGGCTTGACTGTTGTTTCAGTGATCAATCATAGAGATATTTTGGTATGAAAACAATGATTTTAATAGAACTCTTTCGTGCTCTCTCAGGGTTTCTTCAGGCGTAGTCAGCAGAGTAACGCCACCTACTCGTGTCCTCGCCAGAAAAACTGTCTGATCGACCGAACGAGCCGAAACCGCTGCCAGCACTGCCGTCTGCAGAAATGTCTCGCTGTGGGCATGTCCCGAGACGGTAAGGCAAACACATGCACAGCAGATCTACACGTTACGAACATATCGAACCCACCTCTATGTCCAGAATAACCCTGAAGTACAACAACTGTGTGCTGTATGTGTATGTTAACCCTAACCCTGACTCTGATCCAGTTAATTCATAAAATGTAAATGAAAAATATATATTTGATATAGTGATGCAATGATAACAAATTTTTCAAATCTATACTATACCGATACTTGGATCTGAGTACTTACCAATACTTCTACTACACACACACACACAAAAATGCAATGAATTGGAAGACAGTTTTATTTTATTCTCTAAAATAATAATAAAAATGACCACAAAAATAAAGTTTCAAGTGAAAAATAAGCACTTCTGTTAAATTATTGAATTACAAGTGTCCACATTGTAATTCAACAAAATATCAGTGAACTATTTGGCTCTGTCTCCAGCTTTCAGAATAATAAATAAACACTTCTGTTTGGAATAAAATCAATAAGTCGTTGCTTTTCCAAAACCTGAGTTAAAGTTGGCTGTTCTGGTCTTGCGTTAGCCTTAGCGAACTCGGTGCATGATGTGTCCTCAGATCTTTTATTAAACTGCTTGTATTGAACGATTCCCTCCCCTGGACACCTTACCGGCCTTGCTTCTGTCATCTTCACATATTATAGGTAAGTCCACACGGCTGACCTTTTGTTTAGCATAGCTACAGCAGCCTCCAGTTTTCTTTTTTTTATCTGGACCCGCCAGCCTCACTCGCCTAACCCTGCTCTTGTTTAGCACGACATGTCCCCCCAGCGGCCAATCTAAAAAATTGCAACAGAAATGACAAGCCACCCTCTGACTCATGAAATAAGTTGGCATCGGTTAACTTTACAAGTATGAGTACACACACATTATACCGTACCGGCCTGATACCCGATACCAATATTGGTATCAGTGCATCCCTATTTTGATATCATATAGATTTTTTATGTTGTTATTACATGAAAAAACTTTTGTTTTAGACTAGAAAAGCACTACATATGAACCAGTGTAGGATATGATATAGTTTCAGTGTCTGTGTAATTTCTTTCTGTTTTCTACAATGAGATGTTCTGTAATGTTGGACTCATGTCTGCAGCATAAAGGTGTAGATTTGCAGACGGCTGTTCGATCAAAGATGCCACTCCCCTAACTTCAATATTTAGGTGAATGAGAAATTTCAAACAATCCCATCTAGAATATTACTCAAGGCTGACACTATCCACAGTTAACATGGGCGTCTGTTGGGACTGACTTGCTCTCACGAGGTCTCTGCTGGATTGTAACGGGTGAAGTGTATGAAATCCTACGTTTCTGTCAGCTTGGTGATCTAGTATGAAGGCAGATAAGGAGGCTAATCAATGTCAGCTCTACTTGAACACTGGTGGTGAGTCTTGTTAAGCGAATGAGTGCTCCGCCTCTGAAACCATAACGGCTAGCTTTCACTTTGGCTGAACTGTCACAGAAATCAGCATGTTTTTGTTTCATTGTTCCCAGGTCTTCATTCTCTGTCAGGTGGCTAACTGAAATCCTTTCCTTCTCTCCTCAGCTGTAAAGTTTGGTCGCATGTCTAAAAAGCAGCGGGACAGTTTGTACGCGGAGGTGCAGAAGCACCGCCTCAAGCAGCAGCAGCAACAAGGTCACCACCTCTTGTCCCATCCCAGCCTCGGCAGCCCGAGTCCAGTCGAGTCCGAGTCGCTGTCCTCTCACTACACCCTGTCCTCCACCGGCCTCACAGAGCTACCTGATGAGGGGGGACATTACGTGGAACAGAACTCGCCTGAAGGCGGATCTTTGTCATCTAAGGTTTGTTGTCTCTATTTTCAGGACAGTTTATAAACTCAACGATATTTCCTGTGTTTTCTACGTCAATCTTTTCCTCCACAAACAGGGAGACTCTGCAGGAGGAGGGGAAGGAGGTGGTGGGGGGTTCTACTTGGATATCCAGCCGTCTCCGGATCAATCCGGACTTGATATTAATGGCATCAAACCGGAGCCCCTGTGCGACTATGGATCCAGTAACGGCTTTTTTCCATATTGCTCCTTCAGCAACAGAGACGTGCCACCCACGGTGCCCATGGCTGAGCTCGGTGAGTGGAGGGCTCAGGAGAGTGAGATGTTTGTGCACATTTTACTGGAGTTTGTCTGTAACCTGCCTCTTTAGCTCCTTTCAGACCTGCTTCCTTTACTTAAACTTGTCTGGCTTTTCCATTAAAGTCATCGATGTGGCTCAGTAGGCACCTATCGAAGGATGGATGGGGTAATCGTCAACAAACATGCTTTACATAAATACAATCAAACCATAATTTCTTCCTTTTTTTAGGTCAGCTGTCAGTCAGTTTGTGTTCCTCCAGATTAAAATAATTAAAAACACTGAAACTAACGTAAAAATAAACATTTAGAGAACAAATTCTAACAAACTCTGTACCTGAAAAATATTGTCAATTGTCTGTTACGTATAGCAAAAAAACAGGAGGCAACACACCAAGGAAGGAGCACAGGACTTGTATCGATGGCTTTTTCATGAGATAGAGCTGGAAAGGTTGTGCAGCAGGTTGGGATGATTAAGCAAGGAGATGGAAATGTACCAAAGAGTCAAGAGGGAGTGTTGAGAAGATGAACGGAGCTGATGGAAGACGGTGGAGGATGGATGGAGGGCAGTTAGTGAATCAGGAAGTGTAGGTGGAAGAAAGAAGAAGAATGAAGTGGAAAGGCAGTTGAACCAGGTGACGTATAGGGGTGGGCTTTAATAATCGATTCATCGATTAAAATCGATTCTGGCTTGGATAACGTGAAATCGATTCATTAAAATCCTGAATTGATTTTTTAATATAAATGTATTTTGCCCGAAATTCCAGAATCTCAGGTGAAACGTCACAAAATTTTGACAACCACCAAACAGCTAAAACAGTAAATGAGAGCAGGTACACGGATTCTGCACAAAGACGTGAACACAAAGCGCGGACTCGCGGATCAGAATCAGTGAGATGTCGCCTTTCTCACCCGACGGCATGGACACGGTCGGGGCTGAAAGCCGACAGCTGGCTGATTCTGATGTTTCGGCGGGTCCGCGCTTTGTGTTCACGCCCTTTATGCGCTGATTCTGAAGCTGTTAGTTTTATCTCCCAATATTGACCAAATATTGAAGAGCCAAACTGCGCTTCACATAAACATCGTCATGAATTTTGCTGTTTTGCTTCCACCACACTTCATGCACAGCCCTCTCTCTCTCTCTCTCTCTCTCTCTCTCTCTCTCTATCCCCGAAATCTGTTTTCTGCATTATTCGCTTGCTTGTTACGCACAAGACTACCCTTATTTACCCTCATTTTATGTTTTTTTTCCTTTTACTTACTTACGAAAAGAAAACCTAATTTCTGCCTTTCAATAGGCTTCTGAACAAATTTAAACTTTTTAAAATGATGCAAAATGCAAAACGCTCAGCAGTGACTCTAATGAAACCGCTGTAACTTCAGAGGTAATGTTCATATGTTGATTAATGGTTTTCTTTCGTTTTTGATGTACTGTGGAATATTGTTATAAAATCCCAGGCCAGGAAAATCACCTTCATGTTTTTCTGTGTTTTATCTTCAGCTACTTTGACACAATGGCATCTGCTGTGACGCTCACACCTTTGATAAAGTCTGGAAAGTGTCAGCTTCCTTTTTATAGATACAAAAATATGTAAATGGAAAAATTTCCCAGATTCGAATCGATTCAGGACCTTGTGAATCGAATCGATTCTAGAAATCAGTGACGATACCCAGCGGACCTCAAAGATGTGGGAGGAGTTGTTGAAGCTAAATCAAATCTCTTCACCCCCTTTTAACCATGTTTGCTTTGCTGATGGAGAAGGTTAGGAGTTGCACTTTGTGGATCTAGAGGAAGTGTGTTACTGTATGAGGAGGTCTACGTGTGGTAGACTGGTGCATGACATGTATGATTTTTACCAATATCAAAACCCACTTTATCAGACGAAGGGCACACCTGAAAAGAAGTGGAGAGGAGTTATTTGCATTGTTTTAATCCTACACAGCTGCTCAGCAGCTGGAGATTCAGTTTCATGTTTATTTCCATTACGGCCTCTCAACATGAATTTAAAAAAAAAAGTCCTCCACCTCTGACTGTGCAGTGCTGAGAACAAGACAAAATAAATACAGTAATAAAAAGACTCATCATTTGGTCGAATGTTGTCGGCAGCTGCACAAAGATGAGGAAATATCTTGAAATACGTGAAGCAAAAAGAAAAGAAGGGGAGAGATGGAACGAGAGGCTACAAAGGGAGTCAGACAAAGAAAGAGAGAGAGAGAAGTGAGGGGCAAACGGAGACAGAAAGGTGGTTTAAAATAGCAGGAGGTTGGAAACTCATCTTCAGAGCTCATTAAAATCTCTGTGTGGTAATTAGCTGTCTGTTAATTAGGGCCAATTGGGACGTGGCAGGGCGCTCGTTGGGGGAAATCTTTTTTTTTTTTTCTTTTTTTTTGGTCCTGGGAGATTTTGTGATTCACTCTTTATTGTAATAACCCCCACCCTCATCCAGTGTGAGTCTTTGTTATGTGACTGTGTTTTGTTTTTTGTTTTTTACCGTGTATTGAGTTGTTTTGGTTTCTAGTGTTTTATTTGTGCTTATGATAAGCAACAGCACAGCGGGACAGTCTGTACGTGTGTTTATTCTGGGTTTGAGTTGCATTCACAAACATTTTGTCAACAGTTTTAGATTTTACAGTAAAAAGTTCAACATACAGCTGGGAGTTCAGGATATTAGTGTTGGCTTGATGTAGAAGGAGGTTTGTGATTGGAATTATCATCACTTAAACATGGACTGGCCTTCATTTTGGTCACAGTTAAAGACGGGCTGGGCTAATATCATAAACAGTTTCACTCTTCATGTTATCTCAGTGGTTTCCAAAGTGTGTGCCGCTCTGACAGGTGGGGCACAAGTTACCTGGCAGAGAAGTCATGCAGAACTAATGTTTAACATCGAATCATGTTTATGGCGGAACAAAGAAATTTGTGGCAGTTACGTTAAAAATAATATGCGCATCCGCGTGCGTAAGTTGACAGCCGCAATAAAGAAGTGTAGTGAAAAGTGTCGTGCATCGTTTGCAGTGGTGCTGAAACCCAGGACTGGGGCACGAGTGACCACGTGTTCGCACTTCTTTATTGCGGCTGTCAACTTACACACGCGGCTACAGCGTACACACGTCATCATCATCAACAACAACAACAGGACCCAGTTCATTCTGTTTTAAGCCGGCGAGGCGTGATTGGGGATGCTGCTCAGGTGGGTCCGCCTCCCCTGCAGCCATGCTGCAGTCAAACACAAGCTGACTGCAGCCACTAACAGTGAATAATATTAAACTCTCACTAAATTATGTATTTTTCATCTCTGCTCACAAGTTTCTAGATTTCTTTTTTTATAAGACTAAGACTGGACTTTAGTTTTCCCATGTTTGGCGTTCACGTTCTGTTTAACTGGTTGCTTTTTTGAAGATGTGCTGCGGACGAATGAAGCAGTCGTGTGCAGCGGTCCCCAACCTAAAATCCACAGACCGGTTTAATGTCAGACACTGTTTGCATGGACTGGCTATTAAGGTGTCGCAGATAAATACAACAAAATAAAATGATACGACCGAGACAAAAACTGTGGTGTTTTGTAAATATAATAATAAATGCAAATTCACGGGAAAGACCCAGGGAACTCCAGTTAACGATAAAAACCCTGAAAATCATCAATTTCACACCCGCGCCTCAACTCTCGCTTCCCGGTACCAAACGACTCACGGACTGGTACCGGTCCATGACCCGGGGGTTGGGGACCGCTGGTCTAGTGACAAAAGTTAAATAGTTGTTTGAAATAAAAGTTGTTTATTTAAAACAGAAATGACTGTAAGATTCATTGTGAATGAGTTTATCATGTAAATAAAGTTGCAGCTTGGCTTTTCTGTCATTGTTTGTTTAGATGGGGGTGAAAATGTTTTTTCCTGTCCTGAGAGAACCACTGGTCTGGGAGTAGGGTTGGTTTTTGGTGACAATTTCAACTTTTTATAGAATTTTCTCCCCTTTCACACTCTCATGCTTCATGCGATGTGGTTCAAATGAAACCCAACCCTGAGCCTAGTTATGCTGCTGGGCGAGGTTACCTTTTCGAAGCACACTGTCTGAGGCCACTTGACATGGCAACATATCAGAGCAATGGCACTTGCTAGGATCCAATATTGAGACTAATCTGATGTAAAATATTGTACGTGACAGCTTCTTAAAGTTATTGTGCGCCTCGCTACAGCGTATTCGTTTATGCTCCTGCCACCCATGGAATTAAGGAAAACTGGGAACTGCACTCAATTCAATGCATTTCAATTCAATTTTATTTATATAGCGCCAAATCACAACAAAAGTCGCCTCAAGGCGCTTCATAGATACAGAGGAAAAACCCAACAATCATATGACCCCCCTATGAGCAAGCACTTTGGCGACAGTGGGAAGGAAAAACTCCCTTTTAACAGGAAGAAACCTCCGGCAGAACCAGGCTCAGGGAGGGGCGGGGCCATCTGCTGCGATTGGTTGGGGTGAGAGAAGGAAGACAGGATAAAGACATGCTGTGGAAGAGAGACAGAGATTAATAACAGATATGATTCAATGCAGAGAGGTCTGTTAATACATAGTGAGTGAGAAAGGTGACTGGAAAGGAAAAACTCAATGCATCATGGGAATCCCCCAGCAGCCTACGTCTATTGCAGCATAATTAAGGGAGGATTCAGGGTCACCTGGTCCAGCCCTAACTATATGCTTTAGCAAAAAGGAAAGTTTGAAGCCTAATCTTGAAAGTAGAGATAGTGTCTGTCTCCCGAATCCAAACTGGAAGCTGGTTCCACAGAAGAGGGGCCTGAAAACTGAAGGCTCTCCCTCCCATTCTACTTTTAAATACTCTAGGAACAACAAGTAGGCCTGCAGAGCGAGAGCGAAGTGCTCTAATAGGGTGATATGGTACTACAAGGTCATTAAGATAAGATGGGGCCTGATTATTTAAGACCTTGTATGTGAGGAGCAGGATTTTGAATTCAGGCACTCAGAGATGGTTCAAGGGTCAAGGTTCTTTATTTGTCACATGCATAGTTATACAAGTATAACACACAGTGAAATGTAGCCTGACACGCTCCTTGACATGTGCAAAAATTGGGGGGGTGTAGAGGAAGAACATATATACATATACATACATATATATATATATATATATATATATATATATATATATAGATATATATATATATATATATATATATATATATATATATATAGATATATAGATATATAGATATATATAGATATATATATATAGATATATATATATAGATATATAGATATAACACCCAGCACGCCCCTGCGGGCGGTTTATCCTTCAAGCTCGGGTCCTCTACCAGAGGCCTGGGAGCTTGAGGGTCCTGCGCAGTATCTTAGCTGTTCCCAGGACTGCGCTCTTCTGGACAGAGATCTCCGATGTTATTCCCGGGATCTGCTGGAGCCACTCGCCTAGCTTGGGAGTCACCGCACCTAGTGCTCCGATTACCACGGGGACCACCGTTACCTTCACCCTCCACATCCTCTCGAGCTCTTCTCTGAGCCCTTGGTATTTCTCCAGCTTCTCGTGTTCCTTCTTCCTGATATTGCTGTCATTCGGAACCGCTACATCGATCACTACGGCCGTCTTCTTCTGTTTGTCTACCACCACTATGTCCGGTTGGTTAGCCACCACCATTTTGTCCGTCTGTATCTGGAAGTCCCACAGGATCTTAGCTCGGTCATTCTCCACCACCCTTGGGGGCATCTCCCATTTTGACCTCGGGACTTCTAGGTTATACTCGGCACAGATGTTCCTGTACACTATGCCGGCCACTTGGTTATGGCGTTCCATGTATGCCTTGCCTGCTAGCATCTTGCACCCTGCTGTTATGTGCTGGATTGTCTCTGGGGCATCTTTACACAGCCTGCACCTGGGGTCTTGCCTGGTGTGATAGACCCCAGCCTCTATGGATCTTGTACTCAGAGCTTGTTCTTGTGCTGCCATGATTAGTGCCTCTGTGCTGTCTTTCAGTCCAGCTTTGTCCAGCCACTGGTAGGATTTCTGGATATCAGCCACCTCCTCTATCTGCCGGTGGTACATACCGTGCAGGGGCCTGTCCTTCCATGATGGTTCCTCGTCTCCCTCCTCTTTCTTGGGTTTCTGCTGCCTGAGGTATTCACTGAGCACTCGGTCAGTTGGGGCCATCTTCCCAATGTATTCTTGGATGTTCCTTGTCTCATCCTGGACTGTGGTGCTGACACTCACCAGTCCCCGGCCCCCTTCCTTCCGCTTAGCGTACAGCCTCAGGGTGCTGGACTTGGGGTGAAACCCTCCATGCATGGTCAGGAGCTTTCTTGTCTTTATGTCAGTGGCTTCTATCTCCTCCTTTGGCCAGCCTATTACCCCAGCAGGGTACCTGATCACGGGCAGGGCGTACGTGTTGATGGCCCGGATCTTGTTCTTACCATTCAGCTGACTCCTCAGGACTTGCCTGACCCTCTGCAGGTACTTGGTGGTTACAGCCTTTCTAGCGGCCTCTTCATGGTTCCCATTTGCCTGCGGGATCCCCAGGTACTTGTAACTGTCCTCTATGTCTGCAATGTTGCCTTCTGGTAGTTCAATCCCCTCAGTTCTGACTACCTTCCCTCTCTTTGTTACCATCCGACTACACTTCTCCAGTCCGAACGACATTCCAATGTCATTGCTGTATAGCCTGGTAGTGTGGATCAGTGAATCAATGTCTCGTTCACTCTTGGCATACAGCTTGATGTCATCCATGTACAGGAGGTGGCTGACAACTGCTCCGTTCCGTAGTCGGTATCTGTAGCCAGTCTTGTTAATGATCTCACTGAGGGGGTTCAGGCCTATGCAGAACAGCAGTGGGGACAGAGCATCTCCTTGGTAGATCCCGCACTTGATGGTAACTTGTGCTATGGGCTTGGAGTTGGCCTCTAGTGTTGTACGCCACATCCCCATTGAGTTCCTGATGAAGGCTCTTAGGGTCCCATTGATCTTGTACAATTCTAGGCATTCCAGTATCCAGCTGTGGGGCATTGAGTCATAGGCCTTCTTGTAATCAATCCAGGCAGTGCACAGGTTGGTCAGTCTGGTCTTGCAGTCTCGGCTGATTGTTCTGTCTACCAGTAGCTGGTGTTTTGCACCTCTGGTATTCTTGCCAATCCCTTTCTGTGTCCCGCTCATGTATTGACCCATGTGCCTGTTCATCTTAGCCGATATGATGCCTGACAGGAGCTTCCATGTAGTACTGAGGCAGGTTATTGGTCGGTAGTTGGAGGGGACCGGTCCCTTCTTGGGGTCCTTGGGGATCAGGACCGTCCGGCCTTCAGTTAGCCATTCCGGGTGTCTCTCGTTAACTAGCAGCTGGTTCATTTGTGCTGCCAGACGCTCGTGGAGTGCAGTCAGCTTCTTCAGCCAGTAGGCGTGAACCATGTCGGGCCCTGGTGCTGTCCAACTCTTCATACTGGAGACCCTTTCTTGGATATCTGCCACTGTGATGGTTACTGGACCCTGTTCAGGGAGGTCGCTGTGGTCTGCCCTCAGATCCACTAGCCACTGAGCATTGCCGTTATGGGTTGCATCCTTCTCCCATATGCTCTTCCAGTATTGCTCCGTCTCCAGCCTTGGTGGTGCTGTTCTCTTATTGTTCCCTTGCCACTGAGAGTACACCTTTGCTGGTTCTGTGGAGAACAGCTGGTTTATTCTCCTGCCTTCTATCTCTCTGGTGTACCTCCTCAAGCGGCTGGCCAAGGCTGTGAGTCTTTGCTTGGCAGTTTCCAAGGCCTTAGGTATGGACAGCTTGCTGTATTTCTTATGCACCTTCTTTGTCGCACCTTTCTGCAACTCCGTTAGTTGGCTAACCTCCCTCCGTGCTACTTTGATCTTGCCCTCTAGCCTCCTTCTCCATGGAGGGTACTGCCCCTTGTGGCTGTTCAACTTGTAGCCAAGCATCTCACTGATCACTGCTGCCGTATTGTAGATCAGCTTGTTAGTGTCGGTAATCGTGGTTGTAGGTATTGCCCATAGTGCTGCATTAACATCATCTAGCAGACCTTCTGAGGGTACTTCACGTAATCTTGGTAACCGGCTACGGGGGATACAGGTTTCAAGCTTGGCCATGATCCTATTTTTCAGGTCAGTTCCTCTCGCACTCAACGATCCTTCTCCTATCGCACTTGGGGCTATGTACCCAATCTCAGGTGGGGGTGATGATATCTCCCCCTGACCTGGCGTCCTGACTCCTCCTTGCCGTAGCATTTGTGTTGTACCTCGTCAATCTCTAGCTGTGAGAGCAGTCCCTTCTTTCGAATGTTGGAACACTGAGCTACTAGTTGTTTCGCCGTCATTGTGGATGTTGGGTATCGAAGAATCCATAGGTCCCTCATCCTATTCATGTAGCCCCTTCCGCCGGGGTTACTTGCGTAGTAGCATTCCAACAACGCCCTGTTTTCGTCCCTTGCCCACCGATGCCTTCTTGTTCCAGTAGCCCACTTCTCGTCAGGGTGCCCTGGTTCCTCAACACCTGACGCGGACCTTGTTGATCCGGGCGACGTCCGAGCCGGCATGCCTTCATATTTATCTGTCTCGCTCATGTCTGCGGTAGGCTTGCTTAGCATAGGGGGTCTAGCCTTAGGACCCTTACTGGATACAGACGCCCCAGGCAGGAATCGAATTTGCGATCCTCTGTTCCAAAGGCGTGTAGTTTAACCACTACGCTATCTATATATATATATATATATATATATATATATATATGTGTATATGTGTGTATATGTATATATATGTGTATATGTGTGTATATGTATATATATGTGTATATGTGTGTATATGTATATATATGTGTATATGTGTGTATATGTATATATACACATATATATGTGTATATGTATATATATATACATATATATGTGTATATGTGTATATATGTATATATATGTGTGTGGCAATTGGCCAGCCAGTGACATCACTGTAGTCATGAGAGCCACTCCTTCACAAGAATCAAACCCACCAACGAGGGAAGTGGCTGCATACAAACTTCCTTTACCCAGAGTCTGACAACAGCTGAGCAGCAGGTATACCATCACCTTGTGTTATGATGATGTCACAGGCCTTGCTGTAACAACCCCACCCACAGTGAGGTGGTATTCAATCATAATGGAAAAGGACCAAAATTAGAGTCCATGCGAGTTGAAATGAGGAGGTGCTAATGGAAAAGAGGCTCGAGTTCTTCCTCATTGTGTTGGTATATTTGTAAACTCTAAAAACCAAAAGTCCTTTCTGAGTGAGAAATGTAAAACTTGACCTTGTCAGAGGTTGATCGTGTCTTGTTTACAGGTTTCCAGACTTTTCTTTTAGACTTGTTGTCTCTCACACTCGAGTCTCCCGTGACTTTGCAGGAATCCGAGTAGGCCTAAAATTTGTGAGCAGCTTTACGTTCAGCTACTGCGTTTGCTTTGTTTCAGATTACTTGGCCCAGATCGTCTCCAAGTCTCACCTGGAGACATGTCAGTACCTCAGGGAGGAGCTGCAGCAGATGAGCTGGCAGAGCTTCCTTCAGGATGAGGTGGAAAGCTACCAGAGCAAGGTGTGCTTCAATATGTCCACCCATGAATCCGTAAAGCCAAAAGCCTAGCGTCAGGTGATGGTGGCAGCAGGATAAGCGGGGTAGTTTATCCATTTGTCTCCTCAGTACCTTTATTTAGGTCCCCCTGGAGAATCCTGCTGCGGTCCCTTTAGATATAAAATAATTTAGCATGTTCTTAACTCCGCGCAGAAAACATCCAAAACACATCTGAACTGGATTCTTTGACCTACATCTAGGGGAAGCAGTAATACTTTGCTCCAGTAATATTTTTTTTATTTTAAGCCCATTTATATTTTCTAGAGACGGTTAGATGTTCTACTTTGACAAATTCTTAATTCTCTTTTGTTGAGCTTGTTAAACTCTTGCTGCTCTGGTGTGTGCAGCCTCAGGAGGTGATGTGGCAGCTCTGTGCTGTGAAGATCACAGAGGCCATTCAGTATGTGGTGGAGTTTGCTAAACGCATCGACGGCTTCATGGATTTGTGCCAGAATGACCAGATCGTACTGCTGAAAGCTGGTGAGAGCACAGATTGGATTCATTTTCATTTCGCTTTTTTTAAACTTGTGAAAAGCACAACAACGACGTCGCAATAATCCAGATAAGGAAATCCCAGCAAGTAGATTTAATGCCCCGGGTGTTTTCAGCTGGAGGAGCCTTTCCTCTCAGTTTGTGTGTCCTCAGCATCTCCTCGTTTTCTCTGCCAGGCTCTCTGGAGGTCGTCTTTCTACGAATGTGCCGAGTGTTTGACTCGCAGAACAACACTGTCTTCTTCGATGGGAAGTTTGCAGGTCCTGAAGTCTTCAAAGCTTTAGGTGAGCAGAGTTCATTTTCTACTGAGGTGTCATAGGGTTTTTATCATCGATAAAACCCCTACATAAGCTCCAATTATAAATTAAAACCCCAAATTTATAAATTTAGGGTTAAAATAAATTAAAAGTATGAATTAAAAGTATAGATATTTGTGTGGGCAGTGCTACTTTCTAACAGCTGATAATAATCTGCTAATGTAGAAAGTCTGGTCGGATCTACTTATAACTGAGATGTGTCAAAACTCTACAGGTGTGCACCTATAGCACAGTCAGCTGACTGGACACAGTCACTCAAACTACTTCTATTTCTAAATATGAGGATTTTATAAGTGCCAGTGCAGCTCACAGGTCTGGGCTGGTATCCACACACATTCTGAGAATCCTTTCAGAGAGTTTCTAATGTGGGGCACGGAGGTGCAGTGGTTAGCACTGCCACCTCACAGCAAGACCAAGTGAATAGTTCAAAAAGTCAGCCGTCTCTCCAACCTCCCCTCCATCTCTAACTGTCTGCAGGTGGAGAAGGAACATCCTCTGAGGTTTAAACACTGCAGATATTCTTCTTCCTCCAGTACTGTTACACTTGGTTCTTCTGCCATTTTTTCCTCTCCTAAAGAAACTCTTAAGCCTCCTAAAAGTCTCCCTAGCCCCTCCTAACGGTTTTTCACTTCAGGAACTCTCTTAAGGGCTCAGACGCTTTGTGAATAACTTTTATCTCTACCAAGATTCAGTGCTAACTTTCAGGGGAAATATTTTCTTGGAATTTCATCACTACAGGCTTCTCTTAGTACTTGGAAGCTTTATCTGTTCCTGTATTGATTCCTGAGAGTCGGGTGGGGTCGTGTAACGCAGAAACAGAGTTGGAAAAAAGCCTCAGGTGTGCAAAAGCTGGTGCTTTCCTTGTTTTTCACTGATGAAAGGGGTTTGTAAGGTTGGACACATGTGGACCAGGTGGCTTGTTTGGTTCAGGTTCCTGGTTTTCATGTGTGGAAAAGTTGGTGTAGCATGGGACCTGAGCAATGGAAATGTGACATTACTTCCTGTATTACTCTGAGCAGGGTTACTGCTCAGAGTAATACAGGAAGTAATGTCACATTTCCATCAGGTTTTCTTCCTGATTTTTCATCCTTTCCTGTGTGCCCTCTGAACAGAGTGGAATCAGATGCCTGCTTTTCTTTCTTTCTCAGACTAAAGTTTGAACACTCGTGCAGCTGCTTTGACTTGCAGCCTGCCACAGAGGAAGACCGTGCCTCCAAATCACATGTCCTCCTTCTCTTTAGTGCTTCTCTTTGACTGAAGATGCGTCTTTTTAACATTTTTTAACTACTCCAAACATCTCAAGATGCATCAGAAAAGAAGCCACCCCAAAAAAAGTAACAGGGAACGTTTGGCTGCTTCTTTGGATCATCGATCACAAAAGCACAGGAATGATGTCGCAGTTCTTGTCTGTTGGATTGTCTTAAATAATAAAATATGTGTTGATGTGATAATTACATTTTCTACAACGCTACTGATGCAATCTGACGTTTCTGTTGGCCTCTGTAAGTCACTGAGCATGTTTCCGGTGTTTTCCGTGTTCTCCCAGGCTGTGATGATTTCATCACGGCGGTGTTCGACTTTGCTAAGAGCATGTGCTCGCTGCACCTATCAGAGGACGAGCTTGCTCTCTTCTCAGCGTTCATTCTGCTTTCTGCAGGTACGTCCTTCCTTCACCATCTGATCAGATGTTCTACACTGACTTGTTGAGTTAAATAACTGTGTGTGTGTGTGTGTGTGTGTGTGTGTGTGTGTGTGTGTGTGTGTGTGTGTGTGTGTGTGTGTGTTTGTTTAGATCGGTCGTGGCTGCAGGAGAAGCTGCAGGTGGAGAAGCTGCAGCAGAAGACTCAGCTTGCTCTGCAACATGTGCTGCAGAAGAACCAGAGAGAGGACGAAGTCCTGAACAAGGTACCCGTGGTGCATGCAAACCTCTGTGTGTGTGTGTGTGTGACACACACACACACAGAGTACATGAATGGAGCGTAAACATGCAGACGGGAACTAAACTAAAAATTATACTCAAATTTGAGCCACACAGACTTTTCTGAAAAGTTCGAGCTTAACATCCGAAAAAGTGCTTAACTATTTTTTTCAGCATTTTAGTAAAACAGTTCATTTGAAAATGAATAGATAACAATGATAACTAAACATTTAAATATGATTTTGATTAAAGTCTTTGAGCAGACTGTTAGATTCATAATTACAGAAACATACACAGTGATGTCTGCAATGAACGCACTGTATTGTGCTTGTCGATGTACTTGTCAACTCAGAAACAGTTTGACGCACAACTGAAAGTTGTTGTGGTTATCAGTATTCTTTTGTTGCACCAATGAGTTGGTTGTAGATGCAAAAAATCATAATAATGTGCTGGCAGAGAAAACTAACCAAAAACATGGTAAATATAATCCAGCAGGGCATGCCTAATGGAGAAATAGCTCTTTGCTGCCCTGTTGTGGACAAGTGTGGAAGTACAACTGTATAACTCATATTTCTCCACTGAGCACCAGTGAAGTTAAGGGTGTAAGAATACTCATGAGACTGTGTATGGTAGACTCTTTGTGATCACATTACACATTATTCTAAAGAGCTAAACATTAATTTATTCCCACTTCCTTTCTTCGTCTTTTTCTTCTTCTTCTTCTTTTTTTCACTTCTCCGCTTCTATCCTAATTTCTCTTTATTGTCTCCTCTTTTCTATTCTTGTTTCCTTGTCTCCTCCCTTTCCTTGCCTCTTTCTTCTCATTTCTCCCATCAGCTCAGATGTGAGGCGTCAGCGTTGCGTTCGCTGTGCAGTCGACACACTGAGAAGCTGTGCACGTTCAGAGCCGTTTACCCGGACATCGTTCGATCGCACTTCCCTCCTCTTTATAAGGAGCTGTTCGGTGCTGACCTCGAACTGACCCTGCAGAACAGCGACTGAACTGTCACTGGCACCAAAGCCGGTGTATCCAGACAGATTGCGCCCAGTTTCCATAGACACTGCGGACGGGGCGGCGTCCTACACAGCCGAAGATGGCGACTGTGCAGCTGCTGTACTTCATCTCCTGGACACCTGACACAGACACAAAGAAACCCGAGTTCATCTTCTCCTCAGTTTGTTTTTCCTCCTCCTCGTCCTCCTCTCGTGTCTGTGAGTTTGCTCTGAGGAGTCAGGTGGTCTCATTAGCCCACGTCATGTATCCAGGCTTCTGAACCTGGATCAGACTCACCTCTAACAGTACTCGCACTGATACTTGTTTTTTGTTTCGTTTACCTGATTGTTAAAGCTTTGAGTTTCCTGCGTTTGTTGGAGAGAATGATGTTGGATCCATTGACTTGTCCACAGACAGTTTTACTTTATGATCAAAAGATTAAAAGGTAGCAAAAATAATTTCCTAATTTTAATTTGCAAAGTAAAATTGTTCTTATCCTTTGTGAGAGTGAGTGCATATGAAAAGCACCACATTCACACAGCTGCTTCTACAACTTTGGATACTTTGTGGAAATATTATGTTACATTGATCATAGTCTCAGCTGATATTAGCAAAATGATCAAATAATCCCAACGTCCTCTTGACTTCTATCCAGTGACATCAGTTGCAACATTTTCAGTGCTATTTACTGAAAATACTGTATGAGTCATTGCTCAGATACATAGCACAGCACCACAGCCGTGATCTCCAGTTCCAAAGTGACAAAAACTGCATTTCCTTTAATCACCACTTGATGCTAGCTCTGAAAGTGAGTCGGTGCATAGAGACTCCTATGTTGGAATGCCAAACTTACAAAACAATACAAACATTTATTTTGGAATCTGTAGTTTTTTAACTCATCCATTTAGCTTAAAGTCATTCAATTCAATTTTATTTATACAGCGCCAAAGAAGTCGCTTCAAGGCGCTTTATATTGTACAGTAGACCCTACAATAATAGATACAGAGAAAAAAACGAACAATCAAATGACCCCCTATGAGCAAGCACTTTGGCGACAGTGGGAAGGAAAAACTCTCTTTTAACAGGAAGAAACCTCCGGCAGAACCAGGCTTAGGGAGGGGCGGGGCAATCTGCTGTGATTGGTTGGGGCAAGAGAAGGAAGACAGGATAGAGACATGCTGTGGAAGAGAGCCAGAGCTTAATAACAGGTATGATTCAGTGCAGAGAGGTCTATTAACACAAGTCCCATGATGCATTGAAGAAACACCCAGTGCATCATGGGGATACCCCAGCAGCCTATGCCTATGACAGCATAACTAAGGGAGGACTCAGGGTCACATGATCCAGCCCTAAATATATCCTATTGTCATGGCTGCTTAATTGATGGCTGTCTGCCTTTATTGAAATTATGTGACAACTGGTATGTGCTGCTGTGAGTTGCAGACTGTACAAGCTCTGTGCTTTGTTTTTGGTGAGTGAAATTATAGTCATTTATACGTCTATTACTAACTAGCAGATAGCACATGTGTTTCTGTGCATTGCATTCATAGCAGCTTGCTAACCAAGCTTGCTACCATCAGCTCATACCTCATACTCAGCAAATATTGTGACATCCATCATCAAAAAAAAAAAAAAAGGTTCAAAAACGATGGGTAGTCGTCCATCTTTTATATACAGTCTATTAGGCCCACTAAGGAAATATCAAATCAATAACTGAGAAAAGAAGAAAACTCAAATGAATCCATGTGTTAAATTAAAGCTGTTCCTGTTTCTGCAGTGGTCTGGGACCAGTCTGCGTTTGTTTCCAGTCTCTATGAGGCATACAGTGCAAAATCTGGTTCTGTTTGTGTGCCATGATGTTCGTACTGCCATCAAAGCAACTCGGTGGTTGTTCACAACACTTTCGATGAGCTCTTCTCCTTTGTACCAGGGTGCCGTGTTCTGGTGTACATGTGTGGCCCCCTGTGTATGCAAACCTTTTATTTTATGTTATTTTTAGCACAAGCTGTCTGCCGTGTCGAAGAGTTGTAGAGCTTTCACATCATGTTGTATCTGCCCTCTGTGACTGTCATTAACTCTGTCCTAACTTTCACTGCAGGGCCCAGGGTGTAGCTGATGAAATAACACAGGATAAATACAGATTCTGCTTCATCAGTCACCATTTCTTTCAATTTACCTGAAGATGAGTTATTTTTTGTTTTTAAATCTGATTTGATGAGTAATAAACTACTGTGCAGTGCTGTCAGCAAGATTATATTGAGGCCTCATCCCTTCTGAGGCATCAAATCCCCAAAGTTCTCTGTTTTAGATGTTAATGTCGTGTCTTTTCTTGTAGCCAAGGAGACAAACTAAATAGTAAACATGATGAAGACAGCTGATTAATTTTTCCCAATATAACGAATGATTTTTATCGGTTAAATTGTGTGTAATTAAAACACCCATGCGACAGGTCCTCCTCCCTTCAGCAGCAGAGATTTAACAGCCATAGAATCAGTCTCTATGATTTCACCGTGACCCCCATCCTCCCTCGCATTCATCCAGCCTCCTCCTCCTCAGCTGCCCATCTGTTGCATGTGTCCCGGCACCTCCTGCAGATATTCACAGCAGAAAATCTTTAGCACCACCTGGTGGCTGTGACACTGAGCTGTATATTTTACTTTGTGTGTACTTAAAAGCTTTTTACTCTGTTAGATGCTGGAAAAAGAATGCAACATTTAAACTTTTCCCTTTCCTGTAAAACAAGAATATGCAGCAAGCCTCCACTCAGATTAGCAGACACACTTTACAAATTACACAGAGGATTACAAAAGTAAAAACAAAGAAACAATTAAACATGTGTTATCCCTCCTGTATTTCCAAAAGAAAAATCATGTTAACATGATTAGAATTCAATATAATAAGAGCAATACTACAAAAAACAAGCTTTGAGGAGCAATACTGACCCTGCCTCATAGGAAGAAACAACAACTATGCAGTGTGAAGAAAGGGATGTGTTGCACTAAAGGCAGTCTCTCCACTGCCTAGAGTGTGTGTGTGTGTGTGTGTGTGTCCACCCCTGTTTGTGGAATTTTTACCCACGTGCAGCATCAGAACAGAAGAAAGTCACAGTGAATGAATCCATGAGACTTGCTGTCAAACGTCTGTTTGGTTGTTTTTGTGCCTCTTAGGCAGCAAAAACACACCAGTCACAGGTCCCAGACTGTGGAAGTGAGCTCCTCTGAATCTTAATAAAAAAAAAACAACACAACGCATGGCTTCAGACTTGAGAAAGTCACAGATAGTGTTGGGTCTGTGTTTCCACAAGCCCCACTAGTTTAGAGACTTATTCTCGTTAACGACAAAAACAAGACGAACATCTTTTACTTGCTAGCAAGGGAGGCCCCAGCCGGTGTCTCAGAAAGTACTCTGAATCCTTTTTTTTTTTTTTTTTTTTTTTTTTTTGCCCATCCCGTTTGGCTCTTTTGCCATCAGAATTCTTTCTTCGTCTAAAGGTGAAGAAAGATGCCCAACGGATTTACTTTACCAAATGGACCGTCCCAGCCTTGCCGTAATGGTCTATTTGATTCACCTTTTTTTTAAATTGTTTATTTTATTTTCACTTGCTAAATACGGGACAGATTTGACTGGGGAAAAGAAAGAGGGAAAGAAAAACAGCGGGGAAGAGGGACGGGGATAAAGGGCAAAAAACAACAAAATAAGCGGACAAAAAATCCATCTATCAATCACCTGGATCACCTGTTGAGAAAGAAAAAAGAGAAAACAAGCAGAAGAAAAAAAAAGAGCAACATAATAAACAACATCACGATGATATATGTGAATATGACAGTAAATACTAAATATTAAACATTACTGTGCAGCACGTAAGATCGACAGCGCACAGTGTGCTTTGAGGTAGGAGCCAAAAAGGGTGTAGTTTGTGTTTGTGAGCACCCGTGTGTACAGCCTGTGAGCAAAACTCCAGACATCCAGAACACAAGAGGCCAAGGAAGACCAACAGAGGGGCAGCCGCGCCACTATCCCAGAAAGACCTGAGGAAAGCCCCAGATGAGGGGTCAGTCAGCAGCTGCGGAGCCAAAGCCAGGGGGGGTTGCAGTGACGTGCCCGTGAGCTCCGCCTGCAACCAACTGTGCCAGAGTGACCGAGCTCCAGGCCGAGAGGCTGAGGGCACCCCACCCCCGAAGTGAGAATCATTGAGAATAAATAATTTATTTTTGGTAAGACCATCATTTTTATAGCGGCAACCCTTCCCATGAGTGATATGGGTAGACATTTCCATCTAGCCAGATCGCCTTCTACCTTCTTTAAAAGTGGGATATGGTTTAATTTAGTTAGATCTGCAAGCTTGGGAGAAACATTAATACCTAAATATTTTATATTTCCCGATTGTGGTAGTGTTGAAGAAGAATTATGGAGGGAGCAATTAATCGGGAGGACTGTAGATTTTGACCAGTTAATTGAGTAATCTGATATTCTTGCAAAAGAGTTTATCAATTCAATCACCCCAGAGATATTGGTTTGTGAGTTTTGGAGAAAAAGTAACACATCATCCACATAAAGGCTGATTTTATGTTCCACATTATTTGTGGTGAATACAACGTTTTATAGAAATTCCTGAAAATGTTGTTTATTTGTTTCGGGTCATATACTGTGTTCCCAGATGAATCTTGAACAGCACATACAGTTGTTTTTTCTTTATTTATTTTTGGCTGGTGTGCTAGAAATTGACCGGATTTATTACCATGTTTGTAATTTTGTAAGCTACGTACTAAGAATTCTGTTTTTTTATTTTTATTTTATCAATTATCTCATTTAATTCTAGTTTTGTTTTGCGTATTTTGTTCAATGTTTCCTGATCTTGGTGGGACGCGTAGGCTTTTTCTAAGGATTTGATGCTTTTTTTCTAATTCCTGAATATTCTCTGAATCCTACCACAAAATGACCCCGGCGACGGCCTCCGCTTGCTGCCTTTTATTGGGAAGACAGTTCACACAATACACATCACAGCAAAGCAACGCCCACCATAACCCCCCAAAAATGGTTCTAAGACAAGGCACTATGTGTGTGTATGTGTAAACATCTGTATGCATGTGAGAGTGTGTGTGTGTGTGTGTGTGTGTGTTTGAGTGAGTGTGTGAGAAGTTGTGTCTCTATGTATGCATGACTTCCTGCTCACCAAAAGGATCATAAAAGCAGGAAGCAACATCACAAGAAACAGATCTTTCAGATAGAATGTATCTGCAATAAAAGCCTCTCCAGCCAGTGGTCAGAGACAAAGGAATGTCTTGATCCTATAGATTGAACTCAGACCTTACAAATTTAAGAAGCACAATGACAACATTCAACAATTAGACTTTACAGATAGCATTACACCAAAGAGTAGAAGTTAACAAGACTAGTGATTTTACTTTGGAAATGGGATGATTCAACAGTCTCGTTTGATCTAATGATAATTCTTTCTCTTTTTGTTGTAAGTTCATTGTATATAAATATTCTTATTTACATATTAAAAGAAATGTTCTGTGATACATACACAAGATACTGGCAAGCGAAAAAATCCAGGTTTCAGTCTCTGTGATCAAAGTCACAGTGCATGTGCCTGTTCAGGATGGATGTGCAGGATTGTTCAACATCCTTCACTCTCTTCCTCCAGAGTCGAGCTCTACGCCCACATCACTGATCTATGATTAGTTACATGTCAGAGGGTTAATTATATTTTTAGTAATGACCTAGTAAAACTAAATTTTGACCTTATTTGAAAGAAAACTACCTGGATGATGATCATCATAAACTGCTGGGTGGTAGGGTCGTCTGTATGTTTTGTGCTGTAATTTAAAGAAATGTATACATTTATAGAAGGCTGAAACAATGTAGAGATGCAGAATCATACATCGTTTTTATTACCTGCACCACCTCCCAGGTGGCTCAGTCTGTGGCCGTTCCTGGTTGATTCTTTGTCAAGTGTGTCATCGAAACATCTAAAA